ACAATTATGTCCCAGGAGTGTAGGGTTTGGGAATTATGGCAGATTTAAAAGAAAAATGAAGGTGAATTCCAAGCTCTCCTCCACTCTAGCTGTGGCATCACACACTCTAAGACTTAACGAGCTGCGCAATACACACTAATGTTAAAATCTGAAAAAGGCCTCTTTACCAAGCTCCAAACTAAGTTAAATATCTCAAAAAGTATCAAATATCAAAAATCTGATTAAGATCGTAATAGCTGAATGTCTTGTTATCATTTTAAAGTTGGAATGAAGTCTCGAGCTGAAAGAATTTGGAAGGAGTAGCATTTTCCACACGGTGTAGGTAAAAGAGGATTCGAAGGTTCCTCCCATTGAGTTACATGTTAAAAAAAGAGTTTAAAAAGCTGAATATTTCAAAAAGTATAAAATATTTTGAAAAAGTTTGAGAAAGTTTCCCATCATGTGCTGAAAAGGCTGAATATGTTGATATTTGAATGGTTTCTGTAGCTGAAAGTATGCTGAAGTTATCGGACGGCAAAATTGGTTGAAATAATAATAAGAAGAAGATATAAAGATTTGAAGAACTATTTCTTTAAATCTATAGTCATAATTTAAATACTGAACAAATCCATTAGAGTTCAATAGATAGATCTAATGATTATTTTTCTCGAGCTTTGTTTTATACTTTTAGAAGCTCTCCGTTGCTTCTGTATATGTGTTGACTTGTGTAACCTAATTATTAATTTCGGCAAAAGTGTCATTTTAATACAAACATTTTATTAATCAATTTGTTAAATAGGCAAACACCATACAAAAAAATCCAACAACGTCAGAGTACATTGATAAGAGTGCACTAACCTGTACTGAGATCAGATGGATTGTTTCAGCAGAAGCACCGCAGCTTAATGTGATGATGAGTTGACTTTTAATTGATTGATATAAAGCAGTGCATCATAATTGAACACATTGCCAGTGGACAATCTGATCAAACAGCTGAAGATTTCTGTCCTTAGTCTATAAATCTATAAAAAAATATCTCTTGCAGAGTTAAAATGGACAGTAAGCTGCTTCTGACTTCTCATTTTTATTTGACGCAAGGTGCTAGTGTTACTGTAAATAATGACTGAGAGGTATCAGACATGGAAATGAAAGCAACTGTCAGACCAATTATGTGTTTTCTCTCATCGACATCCTCTTTTCACTTCCCTTTTTATTTACTGTTAAGAGCTTTATACTTTGGGAAACCACTTTATATGTAACAAATGAGACAGGCTGGATATTATGTCAATATGGGAAGTGACATTATTTTAGTCTTCTCCTTTATTCTGATTTAGTAATGATTCACTTTTTTTTTCTTATACAATCTTATAAAAGCCATTTGGTTTTGCTCCTTTACAGATAAAACACGGGCTCTGACACTCAACTTTGTTAATGTAGCACCAACATGCAGCCCATTGTAGAAAGATTAAAACAAAACGGACACAAAATAGTAGAATTTTTTGCAAGATTGAGAATTACAATAGTAAAACAATTTATTCGGAAAAATAAATAATTCAACCAGCACAGATAACATTTTTTGAAAGAGCAATAATTAAAAAACGACTTTAACATTACTTCAATTTAAAAGCCATGTTAAAAAGCAGGCCTCTTATTACATTACATTACATCACATGTCATTTGTTAGACGCTTTTATCCAAAGCGACTAACATACATTCAGTACTGTGGACTTATGTCCTCTTATAATAAAGAGACAGCTTGCCACAATCATACTATACTTCAAACTATTAACAATTGTCTTTACTGTGTAATGTGTATATCTGTAATATGTCCTGCTGTGAATGGTTGTTGCATGACTTTGAAATTCCCCTCAGTGTTCTTGGGCGTCTTTTCTTTCGTATCGCAGCGAGCACACTGAGGTCAGCCGTGGTAAATGACCATTTCAACTCAATTAACTGTTCCCACTAATGCCTTGAAGCAACGTGTATCCTGGGCAACTACACTGTTTACTCTGCACACATTACCTTTAATGAAGAAGGATGAGGAAGGGGCTTTTCGTGTTATTGTGATTTGGAGGCTTTATTAAGGACACACCTGTGTACAGACAGATGGGACAGTCACACAAACACACACTTCCCAGCAGTGTTTGTACTCTGGCAGCCGTGTTGTTTCCTTTGGTCAGTGACTGTTGCTCATACAGCAAGTGGAGCTAAATTGAATAAGGCCATATGAGCTGATGCCACTGTTCTCCCCTGGCATAGCTTGATCAAATCTTGGAAGTTCAATATGGGGGTGCTTAGCAGCTTCTGGCCATAAGCCGGAAGAGAACGGCTGGTTTGTTTGTTTTCAGTTCCAGGCTGCATCATCCTTCCTTTTTTTTTTATGAATGTCACTGATTGAAATCCATTAACTCAAATGGGAAATGTGTTTCAGCACTCAAAGCCTTAGTTAAAGAGGTCAAAACAATCTGTATGCTTACTGGAAACATGAGACTACAATGTGAACTGCTTCTTAGTTATGGAGCTAGGATCAGAGTGCAAGCTAATTATTGACATTTGTTTTTTTTTACAGCAATCAACAGCGTGTTAAGAGCTGTGTGCAGATGTGTGGAAAAACTCAGTAATACCGTCTTGTGTTGGAAGTGTTAGCTCTCTCTTTTTAAATGCATTTTTTGTATTCGATTGGGAACCGTTTTTGGGATTAGAGGTGAAAAGACTTCACCGTTGGTTAACACGAGCATGTGTGTGGATATGAGTCAACCTTTGATTATTGTGTGGACATTATGTGTAGGGAGGGGCTGAGTGGGAGCACAAGTACACCGAGGGAGAGATAAGGAAGTCTGAGCAGGTTGTCAGATGGATTCGCACCACGAAGTTTCAGATGTTACTCTCTCCTGGCTGTGATCAGTCTCCTCGCTCCTCCACCATTATGGCTCTCTTGTCTTTCTCAAGAGGATTTATGATACTGAACAGAGTCATTGCTCTGACTGAGAGCAGCACCTTTCTTCAACGGGATTTCTGAGTCCTTCAATATGCTGAACCATCCTTCTCCTCCCACACAACAGTGCCTCTTACTCTCCCTTCTGTTGCTAGTGTGTGCCTGCAACAAGGCCACCTGTTTTCTTGGGGAGGGCAAGAAGAGTTGGAAGCAGCCCAACCCGGACCACTTCATAAAAAATCAGTCTTTCCTTTATGACACCTTCCCTTCAGGATTCCTCTGGGGTTCGGGGACGTCTGCCTTCCAGACAGAAGGAGCCTGGGATCAGGAGGGGAAAGGCCCATCCATCTGGGATCATTACACCCACTCCACTGTCAGAAATAAGGTTTCAACAGAGACCGCCGATGTGGCTAGTGACAGCTACGCTCGCTGGGAAGAAGATGTAGAGGCGCTGGAGTATTTAGGTGTCAGATCATACTGCTTCTCTCTCTCCTGGCCCAGACTCTTTCCTGATGGGAATGCCACAGGTCTGGCCAACCGGGCTGCTGTGGAGCACTATAGCCGTCTCATAGAGAGGCTTCTGGAGAAGAAAATTGAGCCCATCATCACCCTTTACCACTGGGACCTGCCACAAGTCCTGCAGGAGCGCTATGGGGGCTGGAAAAATGACACCATGGTGGGACTGTTTGAGCAGTATGCTGCCTTTTGTTTCCATGCATTTGGGAGCCGCGTCAGGTACTGGCTCACAATGCATAACCCATACCTGGTGGCTGTGCAGGGGTACGGAACAGGCGTGCACGCTCCTGGAGTAACAGGCGGACCTGCTGGATCTCTCGTGGTGGCCCACAATCTGATCAGGGTGAGTCAGACAGGGTTACTTGACCTATTGTGAGCCTGTATATGAATATACTCTGTTCTCATTCCCATGATATCAACTGATATACACTTTGAGCCTCTGCAGCAGCTTTATCACTTTATGATGGTCAAGGAATGTTTGCATCCTGAACAAACAAGATTGTAAGATTGCAAGTACAGGCTGTCTTAGTGCTCTTTTGTTTTAATCAAATTCAACAATTTATAACTGAATGATGTGGGATTTATTGCACATAACATATAACTGGTGGAGCAAAGTGCCAAGCCATGATAATCCCTTTTTTAAGTTATCCAATTCTGGCCAAAATCCCTGGATTGGATATCAGGGCTAAAAATAAAAGTATAATCCGATAAGATTCATAGCATAACTATCTTTCAAAAGATTGAAAAGGTTTAATGTCATTTAATAAACACAACAACGTTGAAGTTATGTAATGATATGACCAGTTATATTTAATTTTGACAGGTTTGGTTTAAAATAAATTGAAGTCAAAGTCCATCACATCACATCAGCACTTCTGAGCTGTAGCGAAACACTATGTGACAGGAAGTCATGGAGATATGCTTCATTAATAATCACTCACGCTTATGCAGACTAGCACAGATGGTGGGGGAACAGTGAGAAACACGCAGACAGCATGAGCAAATCCCATTTAGTTGTTGCTTATTTTTCTCTTAGTTAACAAGACATCTCAATAAACTATATAACACCTAGAAATGTACCTGAAATGAGCCCAAACCAAGCCAGAGTAACAAGGCATTATTGTCTGATCAACTACTACTAGTAGTCAGCAAACTGAAGCTCAATAAAGTCAGTCCTCAATAATAATTTGTGCTTGTGTTTTTTGTGTTGTAGAATATTAACATGTTTTCTGTGGAAAAAGGCTTATTGTACTATTGTGACTATGTTGACTACGTCACAGTATAGATAACAATAACAACGTGACTGCTGTGTTTTGCAGGCACACGCAAAAGCATGGCACACCTACAACACCCACTTCCGTCCGGCTCAGAAGGGTAAGGTATCCATCGTTTTGGGATCCCACTGGGTAGAGCCTCAAAGAGGCGCAGCCACAGCTGCCAATGTTGAGCTCTGCCAACAGTCAATGGAGGCTGTACTCGGCTGGTTTGCCAACCCCATCTTCAGCGATGGGGACTACCCACTCTCTTTAAAAATCAAGTATGGGGCCCTCTTGCCCACATTCTCCCCTGAGGAGAAGCTCTGGGTGAAGGGAACAGCCGACTTCTTTGCTCTGTCCTTCGGGCCGAACAACCTCCGTCTGGGCCGGAGCCTGGTCCAGTACGGGCAAACTGTGACCCCGGACCTGAGGCGCATTCTGGGCTGGATAAAGCTGGAGTATGGGGATCCGGCAGTGCTGGTGACAGAGGGAGGCTGGTTCACTGAAGCCAGTGTGGGAAAGGAGGACACGGTGGCCATTTACCTGACCAAGAGGTTTATCAACCAGGTCCTGCAGGGTAAGAGAAGAAAAGAAGGACATAATAAAAACAATGTAATGAAGCTGATGACCATGAACTAACCAACATATTATTAATAAACAACATGCTCTCAGATTTACAGAATTGGTGGACATAAAGTAAAACATTATTGCTTTTAACAAAAATAAAACTTGGGTATGAACACTAGTGTGTATATCAATGTTTGTGTTAGTTATTTTGGGAATATAAAATCTAAAATGAAATATTTGTTTCTAATCATTTCTCAAATGTGTATTTGAGTTGTAAAGGTTGACAAAATATACATTAAACTGAACTAAGTCAGCAAAACAAATTCTCTTTCTTTTGCAGCCATCAAGTTTGATGCTGTGCAGGTGATTGGTTACTCCGCCTGGTCGCTGGTGGATGGATTTGAGTGGAATTATGGCTTCAGTGTTAGGCGAGGTCTTTTCTACATCGACTTCAGCCAATCAAACCGACCCAGGACTCCCAAGACCTCGGCTCAGTACTACAGGCGTGTCATCGCTGACAATGGCTTCCCCATTGAAGAAACCTCCAGCGATATCAAAGGCCGTTTCCCCTGCGAATTCCACTGGGGCATTGCTGACTCCACTTTACAGGTGAGAAGAGAGAGAATCTGAACAGACAATACAGTGTTTTTCTGCAAATGAAATGCTTATAAAATGCTACATTTCATTATTTTCTGTCTTTACTGTTTTTGTAGGTCCTCTCCTACCCTTTCTCACCACAGTTCACCGACCCCCAATTGTACACCTGGAACGTGACAGGGGACGGATCCCTGCGTCCTGTCCCGGGGATAAAGATGC